TATGTATATATAACTATATATATACAAAATCCAAAACGTGTATGTGTGTATATGATTGAGCTTAAAGTACTAACACACATAATATAAATTCTAAACTAGATTACCCAAGCAATCTTGATCTTCAATTAAGCTTGACTTGGTACACTTGCGGATGAAGATTGAACTTGATCTTTAACTTTGAATTGCAAGGCTTCACCGACATTCCGCCAACCTTCATTGGATATCAATCTCTCTTTTTGTCTCTTATGACCGTCTCACCTCATCATTTCGTCAGTTTGCTTTGTCATTGTCCACTATATCTTTACCCAGGTCACATGAGGAAGCTTTGTTAGTACCCGCCTGGAAACAGGCTATGGATGAGGAGATGAATGCACTGATTTCTAGAGGGACTTGGGATTTGGTCTCTCTACCTGCTGGAGCAACTGTGGTTGGCTGCAGATGGGTGTATACCTTGAAATATCGTCCTGATGGGTCTGTTGATAGATATAAAGCTCGCCTGGTTGCTAAAGGATATACCCAGACATATGGTATTGACTATTTTGAAACCTTTTCTCCCGTTGCTCGTCTCAACTCCATCAGAATTCTTTTCTCTCTGGCTGTTAATATGAATTGGGCGATGCACCAACTAGATGTGAAGAATACTTTCCTTTATGGTGATTTGGATGAGGAGGTTTATATGGAGCAACCTCCTGGGTATGTTGCTCAGGGGGAGAATCTTATCTACAGGCTGAGAAAGGCCATCTATGGGTTAAAGCAGAGTCCTCGAGCTTGGTTTGATAAGTTCAGCAAGGTTATTTCTAATGTTGGTTTTCAACGTTGTCAGTCTGATCACTCTGTCTTTCTTCAACGCACAACAGCTGGTTTGGTTATTTTAGCCGTATATGTTGATGATATTCTGCTGACTAGGAGTGACTCTGTTGCCTTAGCTGAGAATAAGGAGTATCTAAACCGTCATTTTGTCACTAAGGACATGGCAAAGCCAAATTATTTTTTTGGGATTGAAGTTGCATATAAAAAACATGGCCTGTTGTTGTCCCAAAGAAAGTATGTGCTAGATTTACTAGAAGAAGCAGGTCTCTTGGAATGCAAACCTGCAAGCACTCCAATGGAGGCAAATGTTGATTTGTGGCGTGATGATACCTCTCTACTAGATGATGCTGCACGATATAGGAGACTAATTGGGAAACTAATATATTTGACAGTTACCAGACCTGATATTACTTTTGCAGTAGGTGTACTGAGCAGGTTTATGCACAAACCTAGAGAGGTTCATTGGACAACAGCTCTGAAGATTTTGGCATATGTCAAAAGTTGTCCTGGCAAGGGATTGTTATATAAGAAGCATGGGCATACTCACATTTCGGCTTTCTCTGATGCTGGCTACGCAGGAGACATGGGAGACCGAAAGTCAACCTCAGGATTTTGTACTTTTGTTTGAGGTAATCTTGTGACTTGGAGAAGTAAGAAATAAGATGTAATATCACGATTTAGTGCAGAGGCCGAATATAGAGCAATGGCTCACACTGCTTGTGTGATGGTGTGGCTAAGAAAGTTTATGATAGAGCTTGGTTTTGTTCAGTCTGGACCCATGCCAATGCATTGTGACAACCAGTCTGTCATTTATATTGCACAGAATCCTGTGTTTCATGAAAGGACAAAACATATTGAAGTTGACTGCAATTTTATCAGAGATGCTTGGGAGAAGAAGATAGTATCTCTCACATTCACTCTGTTCTCACAACAACTTGCTGATATTCTTACCAAGGCTACTTCTTCAAAGGTGTTTTCTACTATATGTGACAAGTGATATTCTTACCAAGGCTACTTCTTCAAAGGTGTTTTCTACTATATGTGACAAGCTGGGCATGGTGGATATTTATGCTCCAGCTTGAGGGGGAGTGTTAGATTAAATCTATTGGGTATTGGGTTAATGGGCTGTGGCCCGTTAACCAAACCCCTATTTGTATGACTATATATATATATATATATCTCTAGTATCTGAATAAATCAATTAAGTTAGGGTTTTTGCTCTCTCAATTATATCTTTCTACAGTCTGTGAGGGGTTATACTTAAAATTTATTTTCCAAAGGTTATTTCAATTGATAATATACTGATTGGTTAGTTCTCATCCAAATTCATATCCCTTGTTATTGTAAGTTGATATTTGCGTCATGGGAATCAAGTGCCAACAGTAACTAGTCATTTTGACGTTGGTTTGAAACAAGCAACATGCTCCACTTAGTGGTGTTCGGGCTTATATCATGACAACAGGCTCATAGGCCTAAGGCGTGACAAGGTAAATTGAACACCATTCCACCATTATAGTAAACTTACTTGGAATTAATTCGTGTCGGAATGACAGTTTGTTATCTTCTCATTGATTTCTGAAAACCTTATCTTACTTGAATAGGGGGAAGAAAACAGGTCTAGTCTTACTAAGGATAAAATTGCATTTCTGGACTAACTTGAATTTTTCACATATAGTGCTGTTAGAGTTAGTAAACTATGCCCTGTTACGTCATAAGAAATTCCTTTATAAACATTCTGCATATCAGAGAGTATTTGATAATATCTTTACTTAATTACCCAGAGAAATTTCCTTTCCATCTCTTCTAGGTTAGCTAACTTTCAGTATATCCTAGTGTCACCAAATTGCAGAAAATCCCTCAAGCAAGAGACATTTCCGCTTTATTTCCGAGTATCTTTGTCTAATTTTGTCAACAGACTCACAGAGGACTGAAAAAGGGAAAGGCAGTGAAATAAAATGGACAGAGAAAATAAAGTGAGCTTTTTTATCCCTGCTACTGTGCAAGAATTTCAACAAGTACTAAGTGACATTCTTTAGACACCATTTCCAGGTCGTCTGAGGTTCTTAGCTTCTGGTTTCACAACTTGGCTATTCATTAATGCACTTCACAAAGATATGTAAATATACTCCAATGTCCTTCAATTTTGCTAATTCACTTTTCTTTATATCAATTTCCTAATCTTAAAAAAACTTATAGGAGGAATTGATTCTGCGGTTATGCTGGAGACACTGAAGAATCAAAACATGACTTGTTTGAATATCTTGTATTTCAATAAAGGATTTTAAACATATTTTGCAATAGCTATTCATTTTTTCCGTCATCATTTGTAATCTTTGTTCCATCGAAAGCCACTGGAAGCAGCGTTTCTCTTCTCCTGAAAGTAAAGTAGAATATATAAACCTCTTCTCACATTGTTTAATTGAGTTTGCTCCTGTGACACCAGGGGCTTATGCCTCACGGTTACATTAACATGCACGGCCATGATAAAACCTCATCTTATAATGTAGTTCAACTTTACTTGTTTATGACTCTGATTTGCATGTATTGATGTCAGGTCCTCATTTCCCTCCGTGCACGCTAAATATTTTAGACTCAACAGCTCACTGTGATGACCAACGAAACAGTTGACTAAGGTGCTACCAGATCCATTTTATCTGCCAAAGGATTCTTGTTGTCTGAAGATCCTAATTGTGCATGTCACTACTGCAGCTAACAGGAAAGCGTGAGTAAGACTTGATCTGTGATATACAATTTCTTGTTTATAAACTAAGAGAAACAATTATGATCCTGGCCCTAGTTAGATTCTTCATGTCTCCACAACTAACTCAACCCATAGCCTTGGTTTTTTAGTAGTAAGAACAAAGAAAACCAACCCAAGTATGTCACTCACGTGCTCATTGTTTTTGAAATTCTGAAAAAACAAGAAATTTGATGTATATATTGAAAACAGACTATTGCAATCAAGGAAAGTTTTTTGTTGATTTCAATAATATATCAGGTGTTAAATCATAAGCATGGTGCGATACGATACCTTCTGGAAGAAAGAAATTGTAAAGATACCAAAATTGCTGTTCTAGGCCTATAATGAGAATGAAAGTTCTAGGGCAATTATAATTAGTAATTCCAGGACAGTTGTTGGAGCATTTAATCTCTAGCTTCATATGAGTGCTTTGCATTAATGTTGGAGCATTTAATCAAACAGTTGTTCTATTGTCCTATATTTCATATTCTTCTGCTGAATTTTAGAATTCACTGTATTGATTTTTTTGCTAACCTGAAAATGCTAAATGTTGGAGCATTTAATCAAACAGTCTAGTCCAATTAACACTGAAGAGTGAAAACATGATAAGTTTACAAATATTATGCATTTTAAGAAGTAATCTTTGTTTAAGAATTAATCCTCCATTTAAAAAATTACCATTTGTTTATCCTTTTCCCCTTGCAATTTGTAATCTTTATTCCATCTAAAGGCACAGAAAGCCAGCATTTCTCTCTGCCTGCAACTTCTTTACCCATTACAGACTGGCTGATTTGGATATGTGGGTTTCAGGTATGAGTTGAGGCGGCATTCACAGGGATATTGTATGCTCAACAACTCAACTTGATGATCAGTCAAGCAGATGAAGTGCTATCAGTTCCAGATTGCATTTCAATCTGTAAGTTATATATCAGCCTACCCCAATTTTGTAGATTGGCGAAGTAAATTAAAATCTATGATCAGCTCACAGAAAACCATTCTGACATTCTTGGGTCTGGCACATTAGAAGATGACCCTCGTGCGCATTATTATGAAATCATAAACAAGAACCTATCTTGTTTTTTGAAATTGCTAATCAATCTTAGATTGAAATGCAAATCTTAGCTGTAAGATTCTTGTTGTTCCCTTATCCCATAATGCACAATGCATGAAATACCAACAAGTTCAGCTACTGGAGGTGCATTCTAATCATGCATATTGTATACGCAGTTAACAAACACTCCTCAGTGACAAGAATCATATAGATATATGTCAACCCACCTCCCACATCTCAATCGAAATTATTTTAGTTGTTTGTTGAAAGGGCTACAAGGATCTCGCCTCAAGCTATGCCCGCATTAATTTCACATGTTTGGCAAGATTCCTGGTGTCCTCCCATCTAATTTCAACTCCATGGCATTGGCTTATATATAGTTAACCAAAGAAGCAACTCAAGCCATCATATTGTCTCAGCCTTCTTCTTGATTTTTTTGTCATCCATCTCATCAAAAACTCGTTGAAATGGCTTACCATATTCGATCCATCAGCATGCCCCCTACATCTCACCCAACTATACATAGAGTGGACGAAGAACTACATAATCTAAAAGCTCGCCTGGCTTCCTCCAAAACTGCACATATGGTGCCCGAGGGATTAAGAAGTGTTGGAGATGTTTATGAAATAATTGAGGAGCTTCTTCGCCTACCCAGCAGCCTACAAAGTATACAAAGTTGTCCAACGAAATGGGTAGAGGAGCAACTTGATTGCTCGCTTCAGTTGTTAGATCTGATTGGTGTTGCAAGGGAAAGCCTGGTTATGATTAGAGAGCATGTCAAAGACATTGAGTCAGCAATTAGAAGGAAAGGAAACGAAGTTAGTGAGACAAAAAAGAAGGCCCAAAAGATTATCAAGGATGCTCTCAAGTCGTTGAATCTAATGGGTGGAAAAAGTGTCTCTTGCTGTGTTGATTACAACAACAATCAATTGTTTAAGGTTTCGATTGAAGCAAGAGAGGTCACTATCTCCCTTCTCGGACTTGTTCTCTCTTGCCTGTCAAAGCCAAAAACAAAAACAAGTAGGTGGTCTTTCTTTAAGTCCATTTCCAAGAGAAAAGTGGCTTGCGAAGGAGAAGTTGCACCTTCGGAGGAGAACATAGATACGTGGTTACAAGCTTCCTACTATTGCATCCTTTCCAATGATGTCAATGCTATCATGGTAGAAAAGGCACATAATGACTTGCAAACAATAGCGGAGAGGATGGAGAGTCTCGAGTCAGGACTAGAGGTCCTATTCAAGAAGTTAGTCCAAAATAGAGTCTCTCTTCTTAACATCCTAAGCTTGTAAACTGTTCATTATCAAGAATTGTACCATTAAAATATCGGCATTCACGTTTTATAGGATTTGTGAATAGATATTGTCTTATCCAATTTTGTATATGAGTTAGAGGTATGATAAATTGTTCCATGAATAGAAACTTTTTTTTCCTTGCAAAACAAATTGGCTTTCTAAGGTCTGAGTACCTGTTCAAAGAATTTTTTTTCACAGGTCTTTCCAATTGTCATTAATACATTCGTGATTGTTTAGGTCGGAAATTGTTTTCTTCATTGTATAACTCATTACAACTTTAGTCGTTATAATAAGTCCGAAAAAAGACGATCTTTTTGTGAACAAACGGAAGAGGGGGGCCTCACCCACGTGCAGCGTGGGAGAATTTGAAACAATTGAGTGGGACCCAGCAACTCCATGTGAAGAGATGAAACAATTGTTGTTTCCGCAGCGGAACCGGCCCACCCGAAGTTAATTCCAAACTTATAAATAGCTGTGATTCCCTAGGTTATTTTTTGGAGAAGTACGAAAAATGGGTTTTGTTTTCTTTTGCGGCTGGAGAAAAAGCAGAGCAAGGTTTCGTTTTTTTTTTTGGCTGGAAAAGCAATTGGAGCACAGAGTTTGTTGTTTGTGCAGCTGCAGAGAAAAAGAGCTTTTCTTTGTTGCTTTTTTGAGAGATATTTGTGAGATATTTGAGAGTTTTGTATGAGGGTTTAGATTGAGAGTGATTGTAAACCCTAGTTGTATTCTCTCCCTCTATTAGTAGATCTCCCCCCTCCTTGCCCCGTGGACGTAGGCAATTTGCCGAACCACGTAAAATTGGTTGTACTGCTATTTGTGTGATTTGTAATAGCTTTTAGGTTCCCTCGACGCGCAGTCCTAGAGCTGACGAGAGGAAGAGCTAATATCCCACTTTGATGGGATATTAGGCTTCAGATTCTTGTTCCCTTTGAGAAACAAGAATTCTTATTGCGACCTGACTCTCTTGTTGTGCTGCCGATGTGCTGAAATTTTCGCTGCGCGCAACACTTTTTATAGGATCTTACACAATGAAAAAAATAAAAAATATTACAATCTCCTTCAAACAACACACAGCATAGAACGATTATCGCCTATTGCTGTTTGCGTGGGATCTTTGCCGGTGCCGGGGTTTATCCATGGACCGCATACGGATTGGATCCGGTTGACAGAAGTATTGATCAGAACTCCCACTTCACCAAGGAAGTATTCGCTGAAGTACTGATATGGACTAAGTGAAATCAGTACTCTTCTCGAGATTAAGACCAAGCCTAATCTCAAGGAAATGTGGAAACGAGCTTCAAATCCTTCGAAAGACTCTTTTTTTATGTCGAAGTTCGCTGGGATCTCACTAGCCCTTGCTGAAATTCGTGGCTCTTGGCTCTGAAGTTCGACATCACCTCCTCGTCTTGATAATAATTTGCCCCTTAGAAAGAAAGCCCTACCCTCGTATTTATAGGGCTTCGGATGTAGGGTATTTGGATAAGAATGGATGATTTCGTCATATCTTCAGTTAACAACGACCTAACCACTTAGATATGATATCAAGTCAGTTGGGAAGCTTAGACACAAAGAAATCCCGAGAAAACGTGTTAAAAATAAGTTTCGACGGTTTCGGGCGCGAGACAGGTCGAGCTGTCTAAGCCTTGGCCAAGACAGGTTGGCCCGTCTCGGCCTTGGCCAAACCAATTTGGGCACTTGCCTGATTCATTGTTTTAGCATTTTCAGACTTTTTCGGACTTATATTTTTTGCCGTTTTGCGTCTTTTGTCATTTAGTCGACTTGTACGCTTCGGTGAATTGATCGTTAGCTTCTTTACGACTTTGGATGATCCCATTTGACTCAAATGATGACATTCATTATCTTCTCTTTATCTCGAGCTACGTGTGAGAACATATAGGTATTTTTTGACGTCTACAGATACCCCCTCCAAAGTATTTCAGACTCATTCTTTTATAGAGGAGTCTGGAATGGAATGCTTTGAATAAGATAGGCCATGTCTTCAATCCCTTTAGTATTTTGTTGAGGAGATCGCGTAAAAGGACCTGAGAATGGCTTTAATTTTTTACTTCTTCAGCCTTCAGTCTATTTAGTATTTTATCGAATAGATGAAGTTCTTCTAACGCTGCGTTTATCGTCTGACCGTTATCGAAATTTTGAACTGAGGTTAGTGTATAAGTTTCCGAACTTAGCTCGTGTCATTGAGTTAACGTTGAACTAATCATCTTTATAGGGAGTTTGTATCTGAATACGATTGAACTCCCCGGAATCATCCTTTGATCTGAAATTTTTTCCTTAGCCCTATTTTGGCAAATTTATCGATGCATTGGCAGGCATCGACCTTTACTGTAACGCATTATCCGGCGTTGACTTTTATTGTAACGCGTTGACCGACGTTGACCTTTGCTGTAGCGCATTGACCTATGTTAACACAATTTATAGTCGTACGTTTGTTGGAGTCTACACAGTTTAAGCTTTTAAGGTATTAGAGCGTGACGGTCCCAAATATCAGGGCGGCAGGACCAACTGTTAAAGATAATTCATCTGCATGTATGGATCTTATCCTAAAGTTGTTGGATGCTCAAGTCACGAGACCAACTAATGAAGCTGGTGCATCAATGACTCTTGTATTTATATAGGATTTTTGGCAAACCCTCAGCCATCAACGGGTTTGATGAGCCTTTACCGACTACCGTTTGAGTCGGGCTAGCATGCAGATTGTTGAAGTCCGTTCCGCATGTAACGTTATGCTAATAGAGTTAACTCTCTTAGTGCTACGATATTAAATATGTAGACTTTGTCTTTCTTTCGGGAATAAACTACCCGACAACGCGTGTTAGGCACTGACTTATCCCTACTTAGGTTTCGGGATAAAAGTCCCCAGACTTGGATTCTGATGTCTTTTTCAATTGGTGAAAGACTAAACCGGTAATGCGTGTTAGGCGTTAACTTATCCCTACTTAGGCTTCGGGATAAAATCCCCAGACTTGGATTCTGATATATTTTTTATTTAGTGAAAGACTAAACCAGCAACACGTGTTAGGCGTTGACTTATATCTACTTAGGATTCGGGATAAAATCCCCCATGCATGTAAAGCATGGATTTTGGAGTTGAAGGATGGTGTCTTTTCTTGGGGTAAAGACGAACTTGATACTGAAAAGAAAGAATTTTATATTCCATCTCTAGTTACAATGGAAACTCAAAGTGGGATTTCCACTTCAAGAATCCGGGAAGGTGAAACTATTAATGGAGATTACATGTTGATTAGAGATGCTTAAAACCTAGGTTTGTGAAACATAAGAAATATAAGCGAATTTAAATCAAATTATATCTGATCTATGAGTTTTTACAAAAGAAATCATGTTCTAATAGAGGAATTTTGTTTATTAGGTTGTTAAACCCTAGTTAGATTAACCCAAGAGTTTGAATCATGTTCAATATAATTTTTGTAAGTAATTATCAAAGCTTAAGTGTTGTTATATGTTTCGTGATAAGAAAGTTTTGTTTTTGAATAAGATATGATATCGTAAATCAACAAAACCTAAAAACTTGAGAAAGCATATTTTTCTCTGGCTGATCGACCAGGGCCCTAGGGGCGATCGACTGGCAAATCTCTGTTTGTGAACGTTCCAGGTCCGGTCGACTGGCGCCTTTGGGGCAGTCAACCGGTCTACCTCTTTTGAGTTTCTTGAGTGTTGTTTGCTTGCATTTTGGATGTGATTGCGAGGTGTGAGCCTCATGATGATACACATACAGCCTTGAGTACACATGTATAGTATCGTAGCACACATATGAATATCCCGAAGGGGATTATGACAAGTGTTATCCGATTGGCTTGAAATAAAAGATATACATGCATTGTATATACTACTTATTGATTATTTTACACACGAGGTAGTCGTGAACAAGAGTTGTGGATCCGTATGTTGAGATACGTGCGCGGGTGTTGAATACATGTTTTGTATGAGTCGTATCACATGTTTAGAGTTGATGGTGTTGGTATAACACCTGATAATGCATAATTCATTAGTTGTGGATGCTTGGTGATGAACGTTTTCCCGCAATGGGACTGCTGCTATACCACACCAGGAGTATTAGGCATTTTCCTGCAATGAGACCACAACTGTACCAATACTCAAAGATGATTGGGGTTTTCCGGATTAGGCTGATATGCCTACGCTCCGCTGTACGATCATCTGGATGCATCATCCGAAATAGAGAGATATGCCTATTGTCGCAGAACGATTGAGTAAGGATGTTATTTCTACACGATGGTTTGTTGTACCTTACAAGAGTATTGTTATTTCATGTAGATATATATATACATACATAGATGTAGTTTTTATCCCATGTTAGATTACCCGATGTTAGGGTACAGTTCAGATACTTTTAGCATACATGGCATGATCTATGGAGATGTTTATTTTGGATGATATTTTTCTTATGACTACGCCACTACCCGAGGCTAGTCCGAGATTGTAACATTTGCTCATCATGTTTGAGGTTTGGAGTTGTAGTCTACTTTTATGTATTGTTTCTCTTTTACTTCTTAGTTGGGGTTAAAGATTAGCGATTCACAGCTTAAAACATATGGTATATACATGAGGGTTTCCTTGTTTGGATTATTTTGCTAGACGTACCAGTCTCATGTTGTGGATTTCTAATTATTGGTTTCTTTAGATCGTTGAGAAAATAATTTTAGGTAGACTATGCTTAATAGGTAGAACCTCCACTTTATCTAGAAGTCCTTCCCCTGGGGACGGATCGAGGTGATCTTGCTGTAGCGCTCTGACGCTCTTGTTGTTATTTTTTTTAATTGTTTCTTTCAGGCAGCTCAGAGTTTCAGAGAGCCCCAGGATGAGGAAGTTCTAGTATAGTCGCCGCTGCACAGTCTTAGTAACTGAAGCTCCACTGTATAGTTACATTCATTGTTTAAACTTTAGAGTTGTATTTACTTTATAAATGTAGAGTGTCTTAGTATGAGATTTAGTTGATTCCTGTTGAGACATTTTATTATTTCAGATATCAGATGTACTTTAGTTGAGACATAATTCTTTTATTTATGAGATCTC